AACCTATAAACAATCACCCAGGATTTTTGATTTGCCTCATTTTTTATAACTAATACACAGAATGGCTTCACCTGTTTGCTTTCTGCCTCAATTGTGATGCAGACTTCCCTCTAGTTTCACATAATATAGTGGGTTGAATGACACTCCCCAAAAGATAGATCCATGTCCAAACTTCTGGAATCTCTGAAAGTTACCTTATTTGCAAAAACGGTCTTTGCAAATGTCATTAAGGGTCTTGAGATGAGATCATTCTGGATTGCCCCAGTGTGCCCTAAATCCAATCACAAGGGGCTTTTTAAGTAACAGAAGAGGAGAAGGCAGACACAGAGGAGGTTACGTGAAGGTGGAGGCAGAGATTGGCGTGATGCAGCCAAAAGGGAGACTGACTGTTTCTGGAAGTTGGAAGAAGCAAGGAAGGATTCTCCCCGAAAGCCTACCAAGAGAGTGTGGCCATGCCAACACCCTGATTTTAGACATCTGACCTCTAGAACTGTGAGACAATAAATTTCTGTTCAAGCCACCAGGTTTGTGGTATTGTTACAGCAGCCCTAGGAAACGAACATAGATACCTTCAGCTTTCTTTTTTTTTTTTTTTTTGTCTTTTGTCTTTTTTCCGTGTCCGGCAACGGATCGCAACCCTCAGTGTTGCCCCCGTACCGGACCGGGGACCGGCAACGGGATCGCAAGCCTCGGCGTTGCTCCCGCGCCTCGTTCAGCCAGTGAGCGGGAGCTGGTCTGTATGTGGGATCCGAACCCTCGGACGGGAGCGCCGCCGCGCTTCCCAAGCGGCACACTATCCAGTGCGCCACCGGGCCGGCCCGATACCTTCAGCTTTCTATGGCCATAATCTGCCCAGGCTTGTGCTCTACCCTGGGGCATAGGCCCTTGTGTATGGTCTGACTGCAAATGCATACAAGCTTTGTCATCAGAGCTCTACAAATTTACCTTTGCCTATTTTTTATTATGAAACTTTTTCCATAATTTTACTTTATAAGCATTTTGTTTCATAATCTTGGTTATGCCATTTACAAGCTGGGTAACTATAGATGAGTTAGTTTAGCAATTTAAGTTCTTACAATATTTAATTTAGCAACAAATAAATGTTAATTCTGCTCCCTGTGCATCTCATCTAAAGGTAGTAACTTATTAAAAGAGGTCTTCACTTTCATAATGGTTACACTTAATCTTACTTTTTACGTTGTTGTAGGTTTACTTCTTTTTGATATTTTCCCTTAAAGCAATATTGTTTCCTCTCTTTTTTACAATGATTTGAAAAGAGTTATGCAATTATAATTCAATCAGTGGTTATAACAAAACCTTTTTGAAATATTTCTTTTTTTTTTTTTTTTAAAGATGACCGGTAAGGGGATCTTAACCCTTGACTTGGTGTTGTCAGCACCACGCTCAGCCAGTGAGCCAACCGGCCATCCCTATATGGGATCCGAACCCGCGGCCTTGGTGTTATCAGCACCGCACTCTCCCGAGTGAGCCACAGGCCGGCCCGAAATATTTCTTAAACTTGTGTTTATTAAACAGGAGTTGTGGAATGATCTGAAGAAAACCTCAAATTTGTGTGCCTAGCTCCTGTCTCCTGGTAAACTACCACAAAATGACAGTCACTGATTTCCTTCTGGAATTTAATTTTGTGGTTTTTATTAGGTAATTTTTTCCCAATAAATAGCCAATTACCCCAGTATAACTTATCAAGTAGTCCATTATTTCTGCACTGTTTTGAGATGTTATTTTAATCATAAACTAAAGTCTCTTATATACACACATTACTCTTCATTTCCTGTTGTATGGGTCCAATTGTTCCATCTATAATATACAAATTATTTCCTACAAACTAACATCTGAATAACTTAGAAGGCAACCCCATTTGTTGTTTCTAAATTTAAAAAATTTTAAAGTTGTTCTTATATACTAATTCTTAGTGTGCTAAATTTCATTTTTAAATCCCACTGAATGACAAGGGTGTCAAGAAAAATAAGGGAAAGAATAGTCTTTTTTTTTTTTTTTTTTTTTTTTTTCCGTGTCCGGCAATGGATCGCAACCCCCAGTGTTGCCCCCGTACCGGCCCGGGGACCGGCAACGGGAT